GGGTCTCTCGTTGAAACCAGAGCTCACCGATTGTCTAGACTGGCTGACGTGAGAGCTCTCGGTTTCACTGCCCCTGTGGCCCCCATTGCTAGCTTTACAGATGAGTGCCACCATACTCAGCCTTTTTGAAGTCACTGAAGCTCAAACTCAGTGTGGGAAGCACTTTACCCGCTGAGCCATCTCCCCAGACCCTCACTTTATATTTTCAAATGTCTTTGTTTCCTCACACAGCCATTTGGCTGATTATTTGGATTGAAAAAATCAAATTTTTATGGAATTCTGAAGCTCTTTTCATGGCCTTCTGTGGCACTGATGTTGAACTAGTTAATGGCATTCTGATTCCAAGTTTTTGTGACTGTTGTGACAGCCCTCTGTGTTCCGTGATGCATACTGGACTTGATAGCCTATGCTGGTGGGAAGAGGCACTCGGTTTTCTTCGCCTCTGAATGTCATTCTTTGCATTTTTCCTGTAATCTCTTATTTTCCTGCCTTTTATCTTTCTAAAACTCCTGCTGGTCAGACCCTGAACATCAGAGACTGATCTTCAAATCTTCCTTTTTGATAGTCATCTATTCTTTCCAGTTTTCTAGGAATATTTGATAAATTTATTTTACACTGTTTACGGTTTCCATCAAACTTTCCCTTTGAATTGGGCCCCTGTGTCATTTATTGCTGTCTAACAAATCAACCCAACGGAGCAGCTACTGGCATCTGACAGGGTTTCTGAAGGTGAGGGGTCTGTGGGACTTGGCTGGGGGTGCAGCTCAGGGTCTCTCAGGCTGGAACCAAGCTGCCTGCTGGGGCTGCAGTCATCAGACACTGGATGGGGTGGAGGCTGGTGGGCAGTAAATCTCCCCTATGTGGATGCAGCCAGCATTCCTCATGTCTCCACCCCTGAGACCTTCCATGAGGCCACTTGGCATGGCAGCCAGTCCTCCCCACCCCACCCCCAGCAGAAGAAAGAAGTGGAAGCTACCGGGCTTTTATTGTTTTGATACAGGGTTTCATGTAACCCAGGCTGGTCCTAAAGTGCACTATATAGTCAAGGATGACCTGATTTTATGATCCTACTGCCTCTACCTCCCAAGTGATGTGCTTATACCACCAGCCTTGGTTTATGCAGTGCTGAGGATCTCACCCAAGGTTTCCTGAATGCTCAGGCAAGCATTCTACCAACTGAGCTACATCTCATCACATCTGCCCTATTTTACTGCTCAGATGGGTCAATTCTGATACAGTGCGGAAGGAAATGACACAAAGTGTGAACACCGGGCAAGGAACTGTTAGGATTATCTTGGAATCTGATGATCCCAACCTTGTATTCCAACTTCTGTTGTCTGTTAACGCCCTCTTTCACTTCTATGTGTCTACCCTTCTGGGGTCACCTCTATTGGGAATCCTCTAGCATCACAATTCATTGGGTGCTGAAATGGTTTTTGCGGCTCAGGCCCTCAATAATACACAGGAGCCAAACTTCCAGTCCCCATGATGGTACAACCTCCACAGCCTGCTGCCCCTGCCCACCCAACTTGTGTTTCTAGTCTGCTTTGTGCCCAGGAACAATTGTCCTTCTTTTTGAGTTTATCTTTTTTATGATTAACACTTTGTTTTTTATTAGAACAGAGGAAACGTGCCAGGGCCCACAACGTACTGTCCCACCCAATTTCAAGCCTCCCTGGCCACCCATCTTCCAAAACTTAACAGACACCTCCATCCACTTCTGTCTTTCTCACCTGTTTTCTTTGTCTTATGGTTGATAGTTTTTATTCTTTATTCATAGAGTTATTCTGGTTCTCAAGAGGTAAAGACACATGTAAATATAATCAACTGTTCTTCGGGATGAGATGCTCTTTTCCCGCTTATTACTTGAGGATTGAACCACAAGCCGCGTCCATACTTTCAGATGATGCAGCATGAGTTTTTACTAGAATCAGAGCAAAGTGGCTGGTTGTGCAGTCATCACAGCTGCTGTGGGGTCAAGAGTGGAACCACCCTGTCAGGCCTGGAAGGCTGCTGTCTATACCACTCCCCACATGACTCCACATGGCTCTTACATTCTTTCTTTTTTTTTCCATGATATCTCCTGAACCTTGGAAGGACTGATCTAGATGCCCCGTTTATGACTGAGCATTTAACAGTCATTTATTCTCTGTATTTGACCAGCTATAAATCTCTGCAGTCACTGTTGATTACTGCAAAAAGAAGCTTCTCTAACTAAAGCCGATAGCAGCACGAATCTATGGGCATAAACATTGTTACTTAGAAGGTAATTGGACAGGCACATCATGGCCATTTAGCAAAACAACAGCAATATCTTCCCTAGCAGGACCTACGAACTCCCTAGCCACAGGCTTTTGACTGGGTTTTACAGCACCAAACATGAATTCCCTGCTGTGGAGTGGGCATAAAATCTAATCAGAAAACAGTCGGTTGCCCTCAGAACAGACTTGCCACCAGTCAGACTTGCCTGACCCAGTACTGCTGCACACAAGGTCCACAGTTTTCATCTACGAAGTACACAATGGGAAACTACGCAATTGAACTACCAAGAAAATTGCAAAAACTCTCATAATGTGTTGAATAAGTTTGTGATTTGTGTTTGGGTCAAATTCATAGCTATCCTTGGCCACATGGAGTTCATAAGCCATGGGTTGGGCACACTTAAAGTACCTGAAACATCCTGAGAGTCCAAGTGTCGGGCTCAGTCCTAACTAACAAGCAAAGTCCCCAGTGCTCTCTCGGGACAGACTAGTGCAAAAGGGGCAGATGGGTTTTGTACGTAAGCTACATATGCTTTACAAACTTAAATAGCATTTTCAAAGATTTTTTAAAAATATTTTATTTATTATTTTTATTTTATGTGTATGAGTGACTGTATTGCCTGCATGTATGTGAGTGCACCCCTGTTGTGCAATGCCTGTGGAGGTCAGAAGAGGGTGTCGGATCCCCTGGAACTCGGAGTTACAGACAGTTGTTAGCTGCCATGTGGGTGCTGGGATTCGAATCTGGGTCTTCTGCAAGAACAGCCAGTGTTCTTAACCACTGAGCCATCTCTCCAGTCCCTCAAAGATATTTTCTAAAAGACCCTTTCCTACAAGTAGATAAACTAGATACATGACCTAAGGAACCAGGACCCCTTGACACTACAACATGTGTCTCTACTTCCCAGCATGGAGTTTGAGCTTTCTACTGCTTGGGGTATTTGGGAACATTTTTGTGTTAAGATTTATTGTCTCCTGAAAACTGTCAGTGACAGGCAGATGTTAAAATAATGGATCCATTAGAACGCATAGCACTATATGAGATTAGCTTAGTTTCACCTCTCAAGAGGACACTCCACAGCAATAAATGATAAAGTTTTAAATAGTATTCCATGAGAAAGGCTAGGGGATGGAGGAGGTGGCCACAACCCACTTGGGCTTCCCACTTAATCTGTGCTGGCTAGTAAGGAAAGGACATGTGGAGAGTCTTTATGAAGCAGACGCTATTAAGAAGCATCTTTAACCTGTGAGCATTTGCTTGCTTCCTTTACACGCTTTTAACTTCATTTTCTTGTGGAATGTGATCACAGCAGAAAACAGACTTGCGTTGAAGGGTGATTGGGATGATGGGTTGGCTGGTGGATAGAAGCAGCCATTTCTTTTCATGGAGAAATAGAAATATGACCACCCTATGTGAGTTTCCATCTTTAAAATTTTTTACTGCCCTGTGAAAGTCATAATACTAGTAACTTTGAGACTTTGTGATTTACTGGGTTATTCCAGTTCTTAAAGTATATTGCCTATGCTCCTCATCCTTGGACCAAATTCTATAGTGAGAGAAGAGGGGGAATGACCACCACAGAAATGCAAATTAGGTCCGTTTAAGACTTCACCTACCCCAGTCAGAACGGCCAAGAAACCAAATGACAAATGTTGCCGCAAATGTGGGGAACTCTTACTCACTGCTGGTACAAATGTCAACTAGTACAGCCATCATGGAAATCAGTGTGGCGGCTTCTCAAAAGTTAAAACTGGAATTATCATTATGACTCAGCTATACCCATTCTGGGCATAAACCCTGAAGACTCCATATCTTACCACAGAGACACCTTCACATCCATGTTTATTGCTGCATCATTCACAATAGCAAGGAAATGTGATGTATGAATGTGAAGATGTGATATGTAGACACAAGGGAATTTTACTCAGCTGTAAGGAAAAATAAATCATATTTTCAGGAAAATGGATGTCTTTGGAAATATATAGGATTTTTGAGGCAGGATTTCTCTTTAGCCCTAGCTGGTCTGGAACTCACTATATAGACCTAGCTGGCCTCAATTTCACAGATATCTATCTGCCTCCCAAATTCTGGGATTAAAGGCGTTCCACGGTCAACTTGAAAAATATATCAAGTAGGGCTAGAGAGGTGGTTCAGTGGTTAAGAATACTTGTTCTTCCAGAGGACCCATCCCAGCTCCCACACTGGCTCTGTCACCCCCTTCTGCCCTTTGTGGACACAACACGCATACTAGGTTTACATACAGGCAAGCAAAGCACTTGTAAAATAAAAATAGGTTATTTAAAAAAAATTATAACAAAGAAAGCAAATCTAATGTTTTTGCTCCTATGTGGACCCTAGCTTGTGATGTCTACGTGCGTGTATGAGGGGGTGAGTGTGAGCATAAACTGTGAAACTGAAAGCTCATGAAAGGGGGAAAGAGATGTTGAGGAAATGGGGGAGGACCATGGAACACAAAGACAGAAGGGAGGCTGGGGTAGGGAGAGTGCAAGGAGAGGGCGGTGTCAAAGGCTAGGGAAAGAGGGGGACAAAATCAACAAAGGCAGTTTGTTTGAAAATGCCATAATACACCCTAATACTGTGTATGCTCATTAGAACATTTTAAAAAACACTTTAAACCTTTTAAGGGGAAGAGACTAGAGTTAGGGACTGGTCTGCATCCCCCTCACTGTAATGCAGGGTCAGGAAGAACTTTCTTATCATAGTAGTTATTTCCAAACATGCCAGAGAACTCAGATTGCCACCGTCTTTGTCAAACCAGTCATCCGCATGCTTGCTGTCGCCCAGAAAATCCGAAGCGGGTGAGGTGTCTGGCTTAGCTGCTGCCTAGACTACTGCTGTCTCGGTGGAAAGGAGCTGAGAAATTGAAAGACTGGGGATTCCCTGATACCCAAGGTGGGGACAGAGCTTCAGGGTGGGACAGGCAGTGGTTCTCCGAGCCCTCCTTCAATACATGGCAAGCCACCAAGGCTCATGGTCACTGGGTGAAGGTCACCCTGCAAAGAACAGCTGTCAGACATGTCTGGCATCACTTGGTCAGAACTTGGTCAGTTCTTTTCACATACAAAAAAACCTTTGCCTCAGGCAATTGGCTGGGTGCAGGGACTCGCAGGGTCAATAATTTTAATACAAAATCAACAACCCTGCTCAGTAGGGTGTGAACCAGCTGCCAGATGCCAACTTCCCCTCCCACTGACCCAGAGTGGCTGGGCATGTGGACAGACAGAAGGGATGGGAGACCACCGCCATGCTATGAGCCAGCAGAGACTGGGCATGCTGTGGTCAGAGACTAGAAGGAGGAAGAAGATCTGGAAATTCTTTTCTGGCCTATTAAATGCTAAACAACTGGACCCCATTTTACAGATGTAGAAACTGAGGCACTAGCAATTGCCTAAAGCCACATCGGTGGTTTGGAGGAGCTGGAATTCAGCCTCAGAGCTGGTGCCCTTCACCCCTGTTCTTTATCACTCTGTAACAGAAGGTCAGAAGTGTTGGTGATGCATAGTGAGACCCATGCGATGTGAGAGTTGATACAAAAGCTCCCAAGCCACCAGAGCGACAGTCCTCCGGAAGTGCTGCCACCTGCATGTCTTTGTTCGATTGGTTTTGTCTGGCGTGATGACGCACACCTTTAACCCCAGAGCTGGACAGGCAGAGGCAGGAGGATCTCTGTGAGATCAAGGCCAGCCTGGTCTACATAGCGAGTTCCAGGCCAGCTGGGGCTACAAGGAGACCCTGTCTTAAAATAAAACAACAAACAAAAACAATTTGGTGCCTACCACTTATAAGTTTCAAATACCACTGGGATTTCTAAGCATCATTTTATCAAACAAATAAAGCCTTATAGTAACTGTGCTCAAGTACAAATATTTGGCTAATCCACTAACATACTCAGTGTTCTCTAAAGATACTGTTAACAGACACTAATAATTCACTTGTGGAATTAACAAATTATTTTTAGTCTCATCCTTACTCTCAGGTCAGGGTCAGTTCCTTGGCACTGGATAAACTTCAGGAGGAAATGTCTGGGAGGAATATGACTAGTTTAGACTGACTGAAGATAGGACCAGGCAGTCACATGGCTGTCCTTTGGCAAAAGGTTTTGTGGCAAACAGGAGAGGAGAAGTTCCTGAAGGCTGAGTCCTTATTGAGAGCACTGTCATCTGCAGACAATCTTTAATGGCATATCAGCTCCTCTGCACAAACCACAAGATGGGTCATAATACTTTCCTCTGCCAGCACAGGAACTAGAAAGGATTCAGCAATTAACATAAAGTGAGATCCTACACTGATGGAACCACAGGCCAGATACACAAGGGCTATGGTCTCTAAACTTCTAAATCTTTCAGATTCTCTATGGTAAAGGTTTATTTTGCATTCTAAACCCTTAAAAAATGAATGCACCTGTTAAAGAATGGTTCTTCCCCAGTTAACTGCTTAATATGCAAATATGCTAGAACATCATAGAATCTTAGACAGATTCCTCATTTCAAGGGAGAAAACCCCTTAGTATTAATAAGACTTTTCTGCTCTTTGTTAAACATGAGGAAACTAGGAAGTACTTTGTTGTTGGAAAAGGAAAAATCATAAAAAGATGCATGAGAAATATCTATCCTGGTGGTGTTTGCTTAATGACAGCCTCTGGACATACTGGTTTTTAAGTGACTTAACTTCTGAATGGTGATTAATGGGTGATATCCCTTAAAGTGACCGAGGTGTTTCAAAAACTGGGTCCAAAAAGGAAGAGCAAAATAAACACGAATGAGGCCACTTTTATATATTCATACATATGTATGTTAAGTTGGGTGTGAAGGGCAAGAGAGGGAGGTGTGTTTGGGGGAGAGAATCCAAACACCATCAAGCTATAGTGTATGAAAATCACAAAAACTCAGTAAGGAAAAATTTTAAATATGGCCCTTGCATCGTTTACTCAATCTTAATAATGATTTGATGATTAAATATGTATTTGCAATTTTTAAATTTTATTTAAGGGAAAAAATGTATCCCATCCTCAAGGGTCGCAGTGCACCAGGCTTTCCATACCCCATGGGCAGTGCTCCTTTCTAGACCAGCCACTGCACAGCTGCCAGGGAGTGGCCCTTACTGTAATTTTGCATTCATTCGGTCAGGTGGAGGATCTACTTGTCAGCAAAATTGCTGCAAATTCTGAAGTCTCAGTCTGATTATGCGGACGCACAGGCAGGCCGCACCCTGCCTATTTAAATGAAAATTAAAACTAGGCTGATTCTCGGGGTGGGCTCTGGAGCCGCAGAGTCACAGAGTTGTGTTGTGTGGGATCCTTAAGCTACTTGGAACAAATCTCTCCTTTCCTCTCCCCAGGGCTGCGTGTGCAAGGGAAAAGGCCAGTGCTTCTGCACCGGGACCAAAGGGGAACAGGTAAAAGCAGCTTCCCGCCCCTCTCAGTGGAAACACTACGAGTCTTTCACACTTTGCCCATCCGTAGCAGAGTTCACTGCGCGTTTCAGCTCCCCAAATCTAAGTTTAAAGTAATTGCACATAAACACTAACCTTGAACACATTTTTAAAAAGCTTTCTAGGGCGCTCCAGCTACTTCTGCTCCTTGTGTAAATACTGGCAGTTAGGTTGTAGCTCTCATGATCTGTAAAGAATTAGCAGCAGGTTCACGGAAAAGGAGCGTTTACGAGAAGACTCCCTGGCATACGCTATATTTATGATGTTGCTAAACATGAGAGAAGAAATGAAAACAACTTGATTCTCCGACTTTGACATAAACACTGGAAGCCGCAGATGTTGTCCCCTCAGCGCTGGAACAAGATCGCCCCCCGGTGGGCATGTCGAGCAGCAGCCCTTTAGTGGAAGAAAATTCAGTGCTGCAAAGTTGGAGAAGATCCATTGCAGAATTCAAGAACAAAGAATGCCATGAGATCTCATCAGTCCGCTCCATTAACTTGCAATTTGTGATAATTAAGACAGGGGCAGAGCTAAAGTATTTTCTTTGTTTGCAAAACCGTTTCCTCAGAGACACTAATTAATTGCTTAACAATATTGAATGGTGACTATTTAAAAATATTTCAAAGAAAGCCATATAATTATATGTTAATTATAATTTTTATATCTATTTTAACGTTCTAAAATTCATATGTAGTTCACATTAGTTTTTGTTTTGTTTTGTTTTGTTGATTTTTCCGGGAAGCTATGAACGTAAAACATTCACATTTACACTGGAAAACACTCTCTCCGTAATTCATCTGAATTCAGGTATATATCGAATCCCACCTGTATGCAAAAGGCAGTCCGAGAATGTGTGAAAGTAACTAAATAGGGAGAGGTTTTAGCAAATTCTTTTCTTTCTGTTTATTTGGTATACACAAATTCAAGACTTGATCTTTTATGTGGATTTTAAATTTTATTTTATTTTTCAATTTTATTTTGCATTTTCCAATTGTGTAACAAAATTGATCAAATTAGCCCATGGCCATTGCTGTTAAAGAGTTATCCCAGGATTCACATCCATCAGATGCTGTTGGTAGGAGTCTAAAGTAGACTCACTTCTAACCAGGCTCTTTCCTGCCACACCTTCTTTCTCCATCTAAAAGACTTAGCTCCCACTTTGGGGTACATGGGGTACTCTGCCCTTGGATCTCTCCTGCTGCTCCTATGCAAACAACGGATTGAACAACTAGTTCCTGTGCAACCAAGAAAGCTCTGAAGTTCATTAGCAACGTGGTATTTTTTTCTGCATTATAACCATGAACATTCTCGAAACAGTTTTGTACCTCATCCTTACCCTCTTCATCCCTTAATAAACATGCTGTACTAACCTTGATTTTCTAACTGGGCTGTCCTTTTAGTTCTTGATGCCTTTCTCATCTCCCAACTTCTTCTACCCTGAATAGCTCTGCCATTTGGGAAAAGTGGAGTTTCTATAAGGCATGGGCAGCCCTCTCTAGGGCTACAGACAAATGTTAGTAAGTGGTAGTTTTTCAGCACCCTCAGTGTAATTGCTAATATTTCCTCAGTCTAAGGGAAGAACATGCAAAATATCATCACGATGTGATAAACAGGAGAAGGTTATATTATGGGCGCGTTTGTTGTTGAATAGTTTCTGTTCTGTCTGCTTCTTGTTTTGTTTTGGTTTTAACAGGGGGAGAAAGGTTTTCCTGGACCCGCTGGTCGTCCTGGCCAGAAAGGATTTCCAGGTCCTGAAGGCTTGCCTGGACCACAAGGACCCAAGGTATGTAACCTTGTAAGCTTGGAGAATCCTGTACCCACCTAACAAATCTTCATGCCTACCCCATAGGCCACTGAGACCCATGAGCGAATTCTCCATTTTAGCCAGCTGGTGGATGCACAACATATTCTTGGTCTCCTATCTTAGCTGAGCTGGAAGAACCGTGTTCTCCCCCCCAACCCCACCCCCTTGAAGTTTCTACACCCATGACTGTCTCTGTCCAATCCTCTTTCTCTTGCATGATGGCCTCTTTTCCTTTTCCACTGAAGACCTGTCTATCGCCTGTGTCCTGACAACTGATATTCCCACTGATTCCAGGAGCATCTCCTTTCTAACAGAACATTCCAATTATGTTTTTGATGCTGGCTTCTCTCTTTTGGTCTTAAACACGCACATATTTCTCCATACCAGTGTAAAAGTCCCTCTAGCTTCTTTGGGTCTCCTAGGCACAGGGTTGCCATCCTCCCCTGTCTTCTTTCTGTCAAGTTTTTGAAGGATTAGCTAAATAACGGTGTCTATGGGGCCCTTCTATTCTCCCCTTAGTCATATTTTGTCCTGTGCTTCCTCCCCTGAAAACATCCTTGCAAATCTCCCCAGTGACTTCCAAATGGCCACCGCTGTGGGTACTTCTGTGTCTTTGTCTAACAGGAACCTCTGTTCTGTTTCAAATTGTGCAGATCATTGTTCTGGAAACTTCTGTCTATCTTTGTTTTTGGAAGCCCTCTTTCCCTGATTCTCTACTCCTTCCTTTCATGGGATCTGTTGATCACGGGGCTCTTCAGGTTTGCAGCACAGCCTACTCCCTTCACAATGAGCCCCTGAGAATTTACTAAAGAACTGTGTAACATCTGCTGATTCTTCCTTCCTGCTGGGGACATTAGCTAGACTACAGTCTGAGCTGTCAGGCATATACATTCACCCCCCTTACTACTGGCCTCTAGCAAGCCATGAACTAATAAATTATGAAAGATAATTATAATTGATGTCTTTTAAAATTCCATACTATAATGGCATATGTATTAGAATAATATATAGAACACTTAAATGCTAATCAAAGGTGACATAGTGTATATTTACTCCATGCCTGGCACTGGCCCATACATACCTCATTTTGTCCCTTTAAGTCATGGCTGTAGTGATTCATTCATCTTTCTGCTTTGTGAATGAGGAAACAGACACAGTACTTAAATAATTTGTCCTGAAACACACAGCTCACAGGTGGCAAAATCAAAATTCAAACCCAGCTTTATATGGTGTGCAGTTTTTGCCACACAATTCTCCATCTCTTGGACACCAACTGTGTGCCCTACAATTCAGTTATATTAGACAGCTGGGTTGGAGCAGACCCCATAGCTTGAGAGTTGAGTCTCACACTTCGGAAGTCTATTACAAGTAGAGGGTCCCCAGCACACTTCTTTCCAGTTTGATAATTAAGAATTCCCATAATCTGGAGCTAGAGAGGCTAACAGTGAATACTAATCTTACAAAGGACCTGAGTTTGATTCCCAGAACCACATCAACTCAAATCTCCTAATTCTAGCTCCAGGGAATCTATAAGCACCTCCACTCAAGGACACACACACACACACACACACACACACACACACACACACAATTTTAAAAGATCTGCTTAAAATCAGATTGTAGTCTGAGGTTGAATATTCCATTGACTACTGCCAGGGCTTGGGTAGGATTTCCCTTCATTTCACTGTAGAAGGATTTTGACATGTCAAGCTTGGACTTAGATTAGCTGAGAACTTTGTTCTTTTGATTTAGTTTTCCTTCACTACTCTGTTTCCTTCAGCATCTTTTTAGAAATGCCAGGAACCAATCACAATAATAGTTGCTGCCACCATGGCACTTTGTATGGGCTACATGATGTGCAAATATTCCATAAAGTTAACCCAGAAAAATGTATGTCATGTCGTCATGTGACTATATCTCAAAGCATAGCTTATAGATACATATAGCCTCAAAAGAGAACTTGACCAAAGGTGGTCAGAAAATTATTAAAACATTTCCAAAGTAGTCTTCAGATTTATAGGGTTCCTCTCTTAGTGTTATTTACAACACTGAAGTCAAACCTGCAAGTCAATCCTCTTTTCCACCCTCCTCTGCATAACACAAAACAGCTCCCAAAGGGGAGGGAACCGACCTTGAACAGGTCTAGCACCTTGGAAGGTAACTGGCTTGACAGTCCAATCTAGGAAGACTCTGTAACAACCTTTCCTCAAATGATCAAAAAATATTAAAACATGCTGAAACTCTGTGTCACGATGAACACAGCTCTTGGACAATGGAACTTCCACAGCAAGTGGCTTAGTTAAAATATTCTTCATTTAAGGTTATTCTCCAAGAAAAATGGCCTCAAAACTGTATTCATTATGTACCGGAAGCAAATTTATCTCTGGCTCATGCAGTCCTAGACACTGTTAGTTATTTACATGTTAGGCACATTTTGTTACAAAGTGTTTCTCCTGCACAGAAACCTTGGCTGCTGGTCCCCTTCACCATTGTAACTGTGACATTCATCCTTATCAGCCCTCAGCAGCTGCCCAGCAAACACAGGCTTTCTGCAGTCCCCAGGCACTTTTCTGTACTGGGGAATCCCCACAGAATCTCTTTGAAATGTGAATTCTGAATCAATAGGTTTGGGAGGAAGGGGAGGAAAGTGGGGGCTGTTTGAGATCTTGAATTTCCAACAAGCTCCAGGGTGACTACAAGTTGCTGCTCCCACCCACTTTGAGCAGCAAGGGTTTGAATACAGTTTTGTTTACCCTTTCTGATCAGTGCTTTAGTTCCAATGAAACAGGCAAGTAATTGAACCTTATTAACAATGAAATAATCCCAAGAGCTTTGGCATGGGAATAAAACCGAAGCTTGGGTGTGACTTGTACTTTTCTCTTGGATCTAGGGCTCTCCAGGACTTCCAGGACTCACCGGTCCCAAAGGTGTCAGGGTTAGTAATCCAACCCTTCCGTTCTGATTGTTGACTGAATATTCTTCTTCTAACTGTAAATGTCATTCAAATGTCAGAGAGGACGAAGGACAAGGACACTGTCTGCATCCAGAGACAGAGTTCAAGAACAGTAAAACCAATCTGTACTGACTAACGTCAAAATAGTGGTCATCGAATTAGGGACAGATGTTAACTGATAGGGAAGGGCATGAGAGAACTTTCTAACATGACAAAGATGTTTTTGTTTGGCATGACTGAAATTCAGAAGTGACTGTAAGTATGCCAGGCATGGTGGTATACACCTATCATCCCAGGGCTCTGGAGGGAAGGTGGGAGGCTTGGGAGTTGGGGACAGCATGAGCTTCGGAGCAAGACCCTGTCTAAAAAAAAAAAAAAATCATGTATGTAAATGTTCCCCAAACTGTTCACAGAAGACGTGAGCACTTTACCATAGGTGAAATACACCTTAAAAACAAATTCCAGCTAGGTGTGGTGGCGCACATCTGTAATCCTAGCCCTTGGGAAGCTGAGGCAGGAGGTTTGTTGTGAGTTAAAGACCAACTTGGGTTATAGAGTGAGACCCTGTCTTAAATAAACAATAAAACGAAAAGAATTCCCCACAGTCCAAACAATCTTAATAGCTTCCTTTTAAAAGTTTTAGAAATGGAGACGGGTGAGATGGCTCAGCAGGTGGAAGTACTACAAGCCTGATGACCTGAGTCCAAACCCTGAAACATATCTTTAAAAAAAGCAAAACCAGTGCAAGTTCATCCACTGGGGTCTAGTCAACCTATGTAGCGTCACTCCCTTAAAGAAGATCAGTTCTTCCTCACCCAGCAGTAATCAGCTTCCCAATAGTTCTCCGGCTAAGGTTGGGACCTGCTGCCCATTTCCCTTGTTCTGTGCTGAGTTTTTGTCTGTTTGAGTTTGCATGGATCTTGTACATGCTGTCACCATTGCTGTAAGTTCATATGAGCAAGTTCCCAGGAGCCCGTAGCACTCTATTTCCATATGGACATGTACCTCCTTCCCTGGCTCTTAAACTCTTTCTGCCCCCTCTTCTGCATTGGTCTTTGAGCCCTGGGTGAGTGACGTTTAATATAGGAATCCTGGCCAAGGACCCTGAGGGATGGCTGGGAACACTATCTTGACTTGATAGGTCTTAACATAAATGAGGGAATGCATCAAATCCAGTGGCAGGGGGAGAGGACTATGGGAAGGTGCTGATGGGGAAGAGGGTATAGAGATGATTAAGATGTTGCGTATGAAATACACAAAAATTCAATAAAATTATACCAAAAAACCCCAACCCTATGAGGTTAATATCAGAGATGAAGACACCAGAGAGGCTTAGTGGGGCTAAGGAACCGTTAACAACATGGGCTTTCCATTTGGTCAGCTGACTTGTCTCAGCCCTGCTTCTGGATGTGTGGGCTTTGTGAACTCTCCCAGCCTTATCTTTAAGGTGACTAAATGAGATCTAAATGAGCTGAGTCACTGCTAGCTAATGCCTAGCAATAAAAAAGAAAGAAAGAAAGAAAGAAAGAAAGAAAGAAAGAAAGAAAGAAAGAAAGAAAGAAAGAAAGAAAGAAAGAAAGAAAAGCCAGATTTGGTGGTTCACTTCTCTAATTCCAGCACACCTACACCAAAATTGGAGGTGGAGATCGAGTAGGCCAGCTAGCCTGGCATGTGCCGCATGGCAGAAACAGAGACCCGGCCCCAACATGGTAGAAAAAGAGATCCAACTCCCAAAGGTTGTCCTCCAACCTCTACAAGCAGGCTGTGACACATGCATGCCCTCACACACATCATATACACACATGCACATACACACACACAAACATGTGTGCACACAAACACACAGAAAGAGACACAGAGAGAGACACACAGAGAGAGTTCAATAATGGGAGCCAGGTGCAGGGATATTACAAACTCAAGGCCACCGTGGATTACATAGTAAGTTTGAGACCAGCCTGGGCTACATAGCAAAACCGTGTCTCACAAAACAAAACAAAAACTAAGATAGTTTTATAAAGGTGAGATGTACAGAGGTTTGTCAAGCCTTTTTCGTTTTTCTAATTATTTCTCACTATCCCTAATCATAGCTATGAGAAAAGATTATTAGAACGGCAAATAATTTTGTTTATAGGATGGGTGTTTCTATTCTTCTTGCCAACCCCTCTTTTCTTTATCTTCAGGGAATAACTGGATTACCAGGATTTTCAGGTTCTCCTGGACTTCCAGTAAGTAATGGAAATAACCTCCAAGTGTGTATGTGTGCACGGAGGTTGTGTGTGTGTGTATGTGAGTGTGTACATATTAACTCATCTTCAGAAAGGTGTTAAAATAGTCCTGCAAGGAAACACGTCTTGGCACACTTGTTACAAGAAGATGTACCCTAGGACTGGTGTCAGAGTGCGGAATTGCCTGATGTGAGCAGAGCCGAATAGAGGAGCAGAGCAGAAGAGGTGGAAGAGCATAGAATGACAACAGTGCAGCTCACCTCTGAGAGCAGCTCACCTCTGAGAGCAGCTCTCTCTCCCTCTCTTCTTTCCTCTCTGGCTTGGAGCAGCATGTTGAGACTTCGTTTTCTATAGTTGATCTCAGATAGTGGCATCACATTTGACAGTCTTCATTTGAGTCAACCTGCTTTCTTTGCTGTTAGGTAAATTATGTCCAAACACTGTGACTGAAATTTACTACTTAGGTATTTAAACAACCATTTCTATTTTAATAGCTGTTTAAAATAATCCATCATGTCCCTCAAACATTGCCTGTTTTCAGGGTCCTGGGGCCTTGTGATTCTGCCTCTGTCTTTGTCTGTGAGTCTTGCTCTCCTTTCAGGGAATCCCGGGCCACCCTGGGCCTTATGGACTGGCTGGTTTACCAGGATGCAATGGTTCTAAGGTATGGTATGTCCTGCTGGCACAGAAGATGATTAGGAATCATCTCTGATTGACCAAATCAAGGTGACGCAGAGTGGGGCTCAAGTCGGCCTTGGGGAACATTCTTTTAGTCAGAACCAACGGTCCCGTTTTGAGCAGGAGTCGTTTCCTTTTCCCATCCTTTGCTTTGTTTATGCCTGTCTTCCCCGAAAGGTAATGGTGGCGCAACAGGTTGCCATGTCCAAGATTGTATGTATCAATCAGAAGCTACAGCCTTAAATGCAAGATTAGCGTCTGGGAAGGACAGCCTGAGTTTTACAGGGTCCACTCACCTCCTTTATGTCCTACTGAGCCCTCTACTTCCCCAGAATGATGGCCATGAACTAACTACTGAAGTTCCAAAGGAAGCCGCAATTAAAAAGTTCTCGGCACAAGCAAGCTGCCGTTTACGCACAATTTGAGAAGCTGTAGACTCTGGTTCTAGTCTCAGTTAAGATAATGAGTTTCTGGCCTTCAGCCCTCTGACCCAATAGCCGTAAGGAATTCGAATTAGTTTGTCTAGATTTGTTACTGTGGGGTTGGAGGGGAGCCGGGTAGCTATACACATGAGCTGTTCTAGAACAACTAAGAATTCTGACCAACTTTTCATGTCTTCCAGGGTGAACAAGGATTTCCAGGCATTCCGGGGACTCCAGGCTACTCAGGGCTTCCAGTAAGTGTGTATCCTCACTCCCCATCACAGACAGAAAGTACAAATAAAAGCAAGCCATGTGCACAAATCCCTCATGACCTTGGGAATACTAGGGCAGCCAATGACAGACATTCAGTGAAGAAATGGGTGAATGAACGAACACATGCATTATGAGGTCAAGCTTAGACTTTTAGAGTTACAACTTTATTTTGTTTTTGACACATCCACTTAAAGATACACGATAGGCAGATTTGTTTGGCAGAGAGGATGTGGGGTCTCACTTCTAACAACTCAAGGAGAGTGAAGAGGGTAGGAACTTGGAATCCAGACTTCATTCCAGCATGTGCCTTCTGAGTCAAGGGGATTGAGCCTGAAAAAAAAAAAAGGAAAGGCCCATAATGCAGAGAGAGAGAGAGAGAGAGAGAGAGAGAGAGAGAGAGCCAGGAGAGAGAAGTATGAAGGCCCAGGAAAATGTACTTCAGGGCAGACAACTGCAGAGATGTCTAATAGGACAAGGACTGGAGCTTTGGACTTGGTTTTAGCAACACTAAGTCATTGTTGACCTTGAAAGCAATGTTTCTGTGGCAGGAGGGGGCTGGGAAGCAGATTCAGGACTGAGGACTGCCTGGGTGAGGGACAGGAGGAACATTTGCAAGTGAGATGAGAAAGAGAAAAGGTTGTGGAGGGCTGCAGACAGTGAAGGGGAACTGTGGGTTTGCTGAGGACGGAGGTGAGTATCTGTGGGGAAACCAGTAGGAAGGATGCAGTGGGGTCAGGAGCCAAAACAAGGGAGGGAAGGGAAAAATGGGAGCGTGGGTGTTTGCTCTGCCGCTGGTGTTAACACACTGCTTCTTCCCTAGGGTCCTGCCGGCATGAAAGGACAAAAGGTTAGTCATCTGTCAGCTCCTGGCAGTGAAAATCTCTAATCACAAATATGAAAAGGACTTCTACTGAATAATGAAATGTAAGCCATTACAGGGGCTGGAGAGGTGGCTCAGTGGATAAGAGCACTGACTGCTCTTGCAGAAGACCAGGGTTCATTTCCCAGCATCCACATGGCAGCTAACAACCATCCTTAACTTCAGTTCCAGGGGATCCACACTCTTCTGACTTCCACAGTCATTGCACAACACAGGTACACTTACATACATGCAGGCAATACTCTCATACACATAAAATAAAAATAAAAAATAAAATATTTTTAAAAAAGAAATATAAGCCATTGCAAATCAATCTCACAATCCAGACCTTTTTTCTAATAATTCAGGTACAGTATCAATTAGAACACAGAACTTCTTACTGAGCAACTTCTTCCCGTTTCTTGTCATGAACAGATCTTCAGGATGGTTATATTACCCTTTAAGGAGCAACAGTCTAGGGGAAAAGAATTGATCTCATGCGCTAGGATCCTCATTCTAGGTCAAAAATTGCTGCTAATTTTGATATCTTGGAAAATTATTCCTAATCCTTTCCTCCACAGTAAGTTGTCAGTTTTTAAAAACACAGAACATCAACATGGAAGGCTTATGAGGCCCCACCCCTACCTGAGGACTTATAGGAAGGGAGAGATATTTTCTTCAGGGTGTAACCGCTGACAAGTCTCCAATGCTCCTTTAAATAGCTCCTCAGCCATAGTCCTGTCAGTAACCCTAGTTAAGGTCACTGGTTCACACACACATGAACATACAAAAACTACAGGAAAGTAGGAGAGGGACTGCCTGCAAGGAAAATGATCATGAGTGGGACTATGAACAGACTACGATCAAAATGCATCACATCCATGTGTGGAAATGGAATTAAATTCATCATTATATATGACTCATATATGTGATAAAAAGCTTTTAAAATTCTTTGTTTTTCCCAATGGAATAACTACAAAATCCTACAACACTTCTCTAAGTCTATATCCCCTAAAGCACTTCCTTAGTTGAGGTAGTATGACCTTCAGTAAGGATTTACAGGGGTTGTTGAAAAGCTGATTTGGTTTGACGAGTATCTGTTTTCAAGGGTGAACCTGCTCTTGGAGAAGACAGGGAATTCAATGGGAAAGGCGAGCCAGGGCTGCCAGGGACTCCAGGATTCCAGGTATGGCACTTCAGGAAAGAGCTCGCCTTCAATTCTCTCTCTCTCTCTCTCTCTCTCTCTGTCCCTCTCTCCCTCCCTCTCTCCCTCCCTCTCTCTGTCTGCCTCAGTTCTTAAGGTGGTGAGAGGCCCTGCCAGGAGGTGTTGCATGGGGAGGATGAAGTGGGATATTTCATGAAGGGACTTGATAGTGGGCACAACATTTACTGGTCTACTAGTAATGGGGGCAAGGCTGTGACAGCTGACTGCTTATAGCAAGTTGGGGTGCCTGCAGAGCCCTTGGGAGACACTGAAATGGGACTGAAGCCCTCTGCTGCATCCTCTGCCCTTAGCATCCATCAGCCCCCCTTTCTCCCTCCCTCCCCCCTCCTTCTTTCTTCTCTTTCCTCCCCATGTTGTTCTCTCCCTGTTTACATGTCTGCTTCATGTGTCATTCTAAAGCTCACCTTATTAGGAGAAACAGCATGCTGATATGCAAAGATGAGATTGTCTGTGCCTTTTAATCTCCCCTTAAGTCTACATCAGTCTGCTCTCCTGAATTTAAGGAGTCTTCAACAAGTTCTACCTGGTCTGTATTGGTTGAACTCAAGGATGGGTTTGGATCATGCATTGAGTACCACTTAAAACTGTAGTGTTAAAGAATGCCCCTGTTTCAATATTTGCACAGTATTACATTTAAAAACTCTATTGAAATTAGCTTGAGTGACCCTCAAGAGCTTTGCTTCATTAGTTCATCTGTAGAAAGCCTGGGGGTCCTTCAGAATGGATTCAGTGAGACATCAGAAGGCCCCTTAGGTAGACTTGTGCCATCCTTACTAAATTTCAGGCTAATTAGCCAAAAGTGTCTTAACTTGATTGGGGATTAAGTGTAAATATTCGTGGGTAGAGACTGGATATTTACCTCAGTGAGTCAGAGTCTGAGTTGAGGCTGTGGATACCACTCATACATGGGAACTGATGGTGGTGATGATGATGGTGATGATGACGATGACGATGAGTTGTGAAGTTGGGCTAGCTGTTGGTGAGTTGTGAAGTTGGACTAGGACCTGAACAAGCACAGGAATGCAAAGCACCGAGAGAAGCTGTGGAGTAGGAAGGCTCTTGCTCCTCTCTGCTAAGGAAGCACTTGAGCCTCCGTGTGCTGAAGCCAGGGAGTAGGGACGGTACTGACCAGGAACAAAGATGTTTCCTTCCAGTGTCATCACCGTGCCAGCACTGACGCAGTGCACTAATGTGAGGAAGGTTTCGTATGTGCCGGCTATCAACAGGATTCTTTCTAGGCCTAGGGGATACAAAAGGGCCCAGATTAGCAAAAAACTAGTTTCCACATTCTAGTGGGTATACAGAAAAAATGTATCAGTCAAGAACTCTACAGTGTGTCGCACAGTAATGAATGCTAAGAGGAACAATAACATGGGGAAGAGGTGGTAAGAAGTGACAGGGAAAGAGGATTCCAACTTTGAGTAGACAGAGGCCTTATGAGGTCAGCTGCATACAGACAAGAGGAGGAAAGGAAGTGAGTCACATAGGTTTCTAAGGAAAGTGAGGCGGGAAGATCTGGGGCCCCAAAGGAGGCCAAAAGTCATAAAAGGAGGGAGAGGAGGAGAAAGAGAGGAAGGAGGAAAAAGAAGAGGGGGAAGAAGAAGAGGATGGATGGAGAGGAGGAAGAGGAGGAGGAGGATGAAGAGGAGGAGGAAGGGGAGGAGGATGATGGAGAGGAGGAAGAGGATAGGGAAGAGGAGGAAGAGGAAGAAGAGGAGGAGGGGGGAGAACAAAATGTAAAACTTGCCAAATTGTGGCAGTAGAACTTGTCATTTTCCTGTACACAGAGGCATGGGGATGGCCCAGGCATCTCTCACCTGCGGAAGCATGCTTGGGCACTTACTGTTATTAACCCCAGTCCCTTAGATGGGAGGCATTATGCTCTTATGATTTTATTATAGTGCATTAACGTGTTTAGTTAATGGACTTTGTCTTTAGGTGAGAAGTACATTTAAACTTACTCTTCTCTTAACTTCAAGGGTTTACCAGGCCTTCCAGGCTTTCCAGGGCCTTCTGGCCCCCCAGGCCCTCCAGGATTCTTGGTGAGTATGACATCACTTTTGCTATGTACTCTGTAAATGTATAAATTAGTGACGACAAAACCTTTTAGAGCATTTTCTGGCTGAATGTGTTTCCTACTGTAATTTTTTTTCACCCTAGGGCTTTCCAGGTGCTATGGGACCTAGAGGACCAAAGGTAAGTCCCAGTCCCTAAATTGCAGCAGTTAGAGCAGCCCAGCCAATGCAAAAGCCTAGCCTGTGCCTTCACATGGACCAGTGTGTGCACCTCCCTGGGACTCAGGAATCTCACCGGGGAAGGACCAGAGCCGTTCCCTCCCTCCCTCTACTTTATTAACTTAATCCCTGAATCAGAGCACTGGAAACTTTCTGAGGAAAGCAAAGATTCCTAATTTATAGGGTTTGCATTTCTGGTAAACTTATTTGCCACAAAACACTTTATCTTATCAATTCTTGTAGTAGACAGCTTTGCAATATCTGTCTGATCTTATGCTAATAAACAAAAGATGGCTTTTGTTGTGGTCCTTAAGCTGGGTGCTTTAGATGTTTCTATGTAAAAGGTGAGGTGTTAGTTTAAGGATAAAACATAGAGTGAGGCTCAGGCCCACTAAGGAGGTATTGCTGAGCACAGCAGTCTAACGTAATGTGACATTAGGGTGCTTCCCAGCCTTTGTTTTCACACTTAGTACTCCACTGATATATGACGGTGATCTCTCTCTCCCTCCCTCCCTCCCTCCCACCTTCCCCTTCCCCCTCCCTCCTCCCTCCTTCTCTCCCCCTCCTGTGTTCAGATTACTTGAATGAGAGAGCTGAGTTCAAAGAATCTCAATTCCTCTGCAGCTTTCTACACTGATGGGGGGCAGGGAATGTAGCAGCGATGTTTGTCAACACTGTGACAAAATACCCCACGAAAGCAATTTGAGGGAAAAAGGGTTTGTTTTAACTCATGGTTTGGGGTTTGGGGTCCATCATTGTGGGGAGGTCATGGTAACAGGCAAGGGAGGAGCTAGTTACATTGTATGTGCAGTCAGGAAGCAGAGAGATGAACGCTGTTGCTCAGCTCTTCCTCCTCTTTCCATTCGGTCTGGGCCCCCAAGCCGTGAAATGATACTGCCTATACTTAGGATGGTTCTTCTAGCCCCAATCAACCCAGTCCAGACAATCCCTCACAGACATGCCCAGAGGTCCACCTCCACGGTGATTCCAAGCTCCATCAAGTTGGCAATCAAGAGCAATCAACACTGGAACATCTACACACTCAAGAGCACAAAAGCAAGAGGATATTGGGGGAGGTGATCACAGGGTAGGGAAGAGGGAGAACCAGACAAATCTAAATACGTGAAAAGAGATGCTGGGGGAGGGGAGCAGGGGTGGGGGAAAGGGAGAACCAGTCAAACCTAAGTAGGTATAAAAAGGCCATGAGGCAATGTGCTGCCCTCTATGCTAATTAAAAAGGAAAGCCACAGTTGGGTAAAAACTTTGTACAGAAATGAAATATTAAATAGTGATTTAAAAAAAAAACAAAACTCCAAAGCAAAGAACCGGTGTTATTAAGATTTACGCTGCACTGTTCCTGGAAGATTCTTTTATCAGAAATGGCATTTTCCAAGTAGGTGATGTCCACATAAAGTTTGTTATTCTATAGTGTATTACTACTACATGTATGCCACGACATGGCAATCTCAGGCTGTCTTCTTAGAAAAAGCTGTAACCTGAAAAATCTTGAGTTTAGATTTTGAGTACTAGATGAGATTTGCTCCATTTTTATTGAGTGTTTTTTAGTAAGAATAAGACATTTTGTCACATTTTAAAGGCTGTTTTATATAATCTTTTTTATGAAAGCTATTAAAACAAGAGCACAGCTGCTACTGGGAGATGGTTTTTTAAAGATACTGGTTGAAAGGATGGGCTGGCCATTGTAGTCTGTTTTCTGTTGTTGTGACTGCTGCAAACTGGCTAGAAACTTTCTCCTTACAGATCCAGATGCTGGGAAGTCCAATGTCAAGGGATGTCAAGGAATCTTTTATAAATTTTATTTTTACATTTATTTATATGTGTGTATATACTCATGGATGCCCACACATTGCACATGCCACAACACAAGTGTAAATATCATAACTCACAGGAACCAGTTCTCTCCTCTTACAAAGGTCTAGAGGACTGAACTCAGGTCATTAAGCTTGGCAGCAGGCCCCTTTACTGAATGAGCCATCTTGCCAGGCCCTGTGTAAGGGATTCTCGACAGAGTCCCAAAGCAGTTCAGACACCACCTGATAGACAGAATGAGATAGCCAGAGAGCTCATTTTATCCCTCCACAGCTCACCAGTCCTTTAATTCACAAATGGATTAATCTACTCCCCTTAAAAGTCCCACCAGGTCTCACCTCTTAATACTTTGCAGGGGGGATTAAATTTCCATATGAGCTGTGATGGATGTTCAAACCACACAGCCACTGTCAATGGACGGAAACTGTTCACCTTAAGGTGTCACATGCCACTAAATATGACATGATTACATGGCTTGGATTCCATTCTCAGCTTCTCAGACTTGAGTTGATGAACGGAAACTGTTCACCTTAAGGTGTCACATGCCACTAAATATCTCATGACATGATTACATGGCTTGGATTCCATTCTCAGCTTCTCAGACTTGAGTTTCAGAATCTTGAAGTTCAGTCTCTCATCCCTCAAGAGAAAACTAGGGCATCAGGAAATGAAGCAGTTAATTAAGGAAGTTAGGTAACCAGGAAGTTAAGAGATCTTCAGGAAGTAGCCAGCCAGTGGGATCAAAGCCAGTCAGTGGCTGAGCCCCACCTCCCACCACCTACACCTTGTGACATCATCCATTGCATTCAGTGTCAAGCTTCTTTATCCTCAAGATCTCTACCTTTTAAAGAAACATATTACTGCTCTACTTTAAAAATAGCAAATAGAACTTTTGTAATTCCAAAATAAAGATGAAAATATAAATGTTCGGTTACGAACATTAAAGCTTTAAAGAATTCGGATTATTCATATTTAGTTTTTAAAAATATTATTTCGTATTTCCTTGCAGGGTCACATGGGCGATAATGTGATCGGACAAAAAGGAGAGCAGGTGATTGAAATATTTTGCTTTGTTACCCACTAACTGTAAAGCTCCCCAGTGTATCTGCCTCTAGTTTATTTGCTGGCCAAGTTAAAATTAATGTTTTCATTTGCTCTGTTTTGTTGCATAAGAATTTGAGGAGAAAAGTAGAACTTTCAGACTGCCAAGTTGAAGTGCTGCTGTTGGTTAGGTCCTCATTCTTGGCTGCATTTCTCTTTAGGGTGTGAAAGGATTAACAGGACCTCCCGGACTACCAGGAACAGTTATCATAACACTCACTGGCCCAGAGAACAGGACGGTAATGCTGCAGCTTCCTGATTAGGGATGTGCGTTGGTTTCTAGGGTGAGGTCTTGGTGACCTCCTTTACGGGCTCCATCACGAGTCCTGCTAAAACCAGTTCTACCTCCAGCCAGCCTGCACCTCTTGTTTTTATTCCTCACATCCTTCACAGAGAAAGAATGAAAACAGTAGATGCGGAAGCTGAGCATGTGACTCCAGTGTCCCAGCCTCATTCTGCTCACCCTTTCTCCCCATTCTGTCTTACTACAATGACCTACAGACTGGGGTGGAGGAGGACTGTAATCAAATGGGACACCTTCACCCTGCCGTTGTAACTCCAAGTCCTCACCCAAACCACCATCTCCTTGTCATTTTGACATTAACTAATCAGTTATTTTCCATAATGGGATGGCTAAGAGGTCCAGGATATGGAACTGAACTGAATGCTTGGGAAATGAATTCACAGCACTGTACGCCGATCCAACCCCCTATACTGGGCTTAGAAAGTGTGGGAGGAGATGAGAAACTCAGAGGGTTGTGAACAATTTTACTGTAGCTTAACCAAGAAACCAAAACCATCCTTCCCTTTAAAACTTACAATTAATTGCTTGAGACAATAGCTTGAGATATATTCAAATGCCATAAAATATGCTTTTTTAAAGTATATGCTTCATGGGTTTTAGCTGAATCTCACCTTTAACAACTTTATTGTGATGTAATGTACACGCCATAATATTCACTAATTTGTGTTCAGTTCAGTGGCTTTTTGGTATTCACCAATTTAGGCCAGCATTATCACTGCCAATTTTTTATTTCCATTATACTAAAAAGAAACTCTATAGCCATCACCACCTCTGTGTAATATAAATGATCAAACTAAAACTAAAAAGAGTTCAAAGAAAACATAGTGCAATTTAATAATAACAAAATAACTGACATTGAAGACTGGGGGTGGGGGAGGCCCGAAGAAAAATTTCAGAGGCCATCAGCAAAAATTAAATAATAAAGCCTAAAGCTTCATTGTCTGAAAAATCATCTATTTTTATATTTATAAAATCACCTGGGGAAAAAATTGAGTTTTAAAAAAAACTAGTGTCTTCAGAGAAGGTAGACATTTGTAGAAAAAAAAAGTATATATACATATATATATAATTTAATCAATAAAATATCA